TGAATGAATTTCACTTAATGAACTATTTTTGAAAAGAATACCTGCTTAATCTTTGATGAGGAACAACAGCATAAAGTTACTAAACTACTTATTTTCAGTAGAGACTTAGTTTTATATTTTTAAAAAATATAGATGAGATTATTAGTTTATTAGGTGATTAAGTAACAGGGTACTATATTTCCTTTTAATTCTATTCACTTAATCTTAAAAGAATATGACTCTCTGTAAGGGTGTTTGTATTTATTAGTTCACAAAGCATGCTGAGCAGCGAGGATGTGCTTGGATTGTTGCCAGAGTAAGGAAAACTACTGAATCCCAGATGGGTTGAACTAGTAGAGTAAATGTGCCTTCTCCAGTCCTCTGAAGCTTCCTGGTTCATTATTACCACTTACCTTTTTTGGCAGAGGTTTTCCTGTCAAGGCCTCTGTATGGCCTGTGCATCTACCTCTGCACAAGTAACGTGTTTCACCTAAGATTGCAGTCAGTTGTGGTTGCAGAGGTATCTGTTCCATAATGTGCTTCTCGCTGGGGGATGATAGTCTGGGTAGCTTCTTATTCTGGTTTACCTGTTTATTAGAAACGATGGCCTCTCCAACACAGATGGCTTGTTTTCATAAGAAAGTATTTTAACCTTCAGTCTATCAAGTGACATTATCATCACCCACCAACTCAATCCATCCGGTGGAGCCTTTTTTTTGGTCGTGGGGCCTGAATGCTGCACCTGGGCGCTGTCCCTCAGCTCTTCAGCTCAAGGCTAGTGCTCTCCCTATCACTTGAGCCACAGTGCCACTTCCAGCTTTTTCTGCTTATATGGTGCTGAGGAATCAAATCCAAGGCCTCATACATGCAAGACAAGCACTCTACCACTGAGCCACTTTTTTAATTCCTTTTTTTTTTTTGCCAGTCCTGGGGCTTGAACTCAGGGCCTGGGCACCGTCCCTGAGCTTCTTTGTCTCAAGGCTAGCACTCTACCACTTGAACCACAGCGCACTTCCAGCTTTTTCTATTTGGTACTGAGGAATCGAACCAGGGCTTCATGCATGCTAGGCAAACATTCACCACAAAGCCACATTCCCAGCCATATTCTTTTATAATTTTAACTGAAATCTTGTAATTTACAGAATACTGAAAAACTATTCAAATTGCAACAACCAGCCAGATAAATTTTGGTATACAAACATATATCATATTGAAAATTAAAAATACATATTAAAAAATGAAAGGTCAGATGGGCACTGGTGGCTCATTCTTATAATCTAGCTTCTCAGGAGGCTGAGATCTGAGGATTGTGGTTTGAAGCCAGCACAGGCAGAAAAGTCCCTGTGAGACTCTTATCTCCAATTAACAACTCAAAAACCAAACCAGAAGTGGCACTGTGGTTCAAGTGGTAGAGAGCTAGCCTTGAGCACAAAGAGTTTCAGGGACAGTGCCCAGGCCTTGAGTTCAAGCCCCCCCACCCCCTGCAAAAAAGAAAGATGTTTGAATATTTTTTTCCCCAGCAAAACAAAGATGATCCAGGTTGTTATTATAAGTGTTACCTGATGAAGTCTTTTAGCTGAGTGATTTGAGGAAAATACCATTATTTTGTGCTTCTTTAGGATATTTTCATTAGTCCAAAATTTTTTATGTATCTTCACATTTACCCTCATTATTTTCTAGAATGCTGTTGTCTCCCTCTTTTTCTTTCTTCTTTTTTTTTTTTTTAAATCAGAGCTTGAACTCAGTTCTTTACAATCTCACTTAGCATTTTCATACTCTGATGGTGCTCTACAACTAGAGCCATACCTCTAGTTCAGTTTTTATTTTCTTTTGCTGGCAATTGGTGATGGAGTGTTGTGTACTTTTTTCTGGCTCTGAACTGAGATCCTCAGATCTTAGTTCCTGAGTAGCTAGGATTATGGGCATGAGCCACCAGCACCCAGCTTCATCTTTTGATGTTTGTAATCATTGTGAAATACTTGTCAAATTTCTTGTCTTTGATTTTGGATGGAAAGTTAAAGCTATGGGATTAGTGAATATATTCAATGAAATAAAAATGCAGACTGTAAAAATATGCCTCTGTACTCCCAAAAATATGTCCACGAAAGAGAATGTAACCATTTGGGCACCATAATACAAGCACTGGATGATGAATTATGAATTTTTTTTATTGTGGTATCAACTTTTAGGTCAAGACTTGGCGAATTTCAGCTTCCTGGCTACTTCTCAGTGAAAATAAACATTAATTGTAACGTGGCCATGTTTGGTCATTGTGTGACTACGTTTATACTGCAATGTCAGAACTGAGTAGTGGCAGAGACAGTGTGTCCCACCAGCTAAAATATTTGCCAGTTACCCCTTTAAGAAAAAAGTTTGTTAACTTGTATTCTAAGTATTATTTTTCCTTTCTTTCCTTGTGCCTTTGTTAGCACTTTTTCCTTCCTTTCTACCTTCCTCCCTCTCCTTTCTCCCTCTCCTCTCCTTTTCTACCTCCCCTCTCTTTTTCCACCTTCCCCTCCCCTCCTTCCTTTTTATTTTTCCCCCTTCTTCTCTCTCTCTCCCTTTTACCTGTTGCCTTTGATTTATTCTTTTGTTGATTTTTTAGGAGGGTGTTCTGGGTAACTCATGGCCTACTGCTGGTCTACTACTCCACTTGAGCCACACCCCTAGTCCTCATTTCTTAAAATGATTTTTATTTTAGTAATTTATTCTGGTAAGGAATTATTGATGAATAATAGTAAAATACTGATAAAAATAATTCCTAGATTTATGAAATAACTTGCTAGACAAAAGAAGAATGTAAGAGTCAATAATACATAAGATTTATTTTTAAAAATCTATGACAATTGCAAGGTAAGAAAGTTTTATTTCACCATTAAAGAATATATATGTATATATTTTATATGTATATATACATCTATATGTATATATATTATTTTTCCAAGATAGTCTTCTAAAGGGAAGAAAGGACATTAAGGAGTATCAACTATTAAAAACAGGGCTGGGAGCCAGGTGCCGGTGGCTCACGCCTGTAATCCTAGCTACTCAGGAGACTGAGATCTGAGAATCGCGGTTCAAAGCCAGCCCGGGCAGGAAAGACCGTGAGACTCCTATCTCCAATAAACCACTAGAAAACTGGAAGTGGCGCTGTAGCTCAAGTGGTAGAGCCCT